CTTGGAGAGATTTTCTAATTATTTAAAAAAAGAAACAAATATATAAAAGGAAATGGATTTTTATGGGCATGCTTATTTAATAGAGCATTAATTTTATTCCGTATATATAAAAAATTCTAAATCAAATAAAAAGTATGTTACATTTTAAAATTAGTATTTTCCATTTTAAAATTATTGTTTTCCATGTATAGCTTTGTAAAAATTTACATGTAACAAAAATTATAATTTCCATTTATAACTTTGTAAAATGATCAAGACTTGATAAGTGAGTATTTATGTGTAAGAAATTAAATATTAATTGGTGTTCCTAATCGAAATATTTATGGTATAATATTAATTGTTATAAATGTAATTACTTTTATATTTAATTCTTAAAAAAATGTGCTAATTATTTTGACATCTATGTCAAAATAATATAAGTAAGTAATATTCTTTCTTATTTATTCATTGAACCATCTACATCAATGTAACAAATATTAGTGGATAATAAAAAAANATATATAAAAGGAAATGGATTTTTATGGGCATGCTTATTTAATAGAGCATTAATTTTATTCCGTATATATAAAAAATTCTAAATCAAATAAAAAGTATGTTCCATTTTAAAATTAGTATTTTCCATTTTAAAATTATTGTTTTCCATGTATAGCTTTGTAAAAATTTACATGTAACAAAAATTATCATTTCCATTTATAACTTTGTAAAATGATCAAGACTTGATAAGTGAGTATTTATGTGTAAGAAATTAAATATTAATTGGTGTTCCTAATCGAAATATTTATGGTATAATATTAATTGTTATAAATGTAATTACTTTTATATTTAATTCTTAAAAAAATGTGCTAATTATTTTGACATCTATGTCAAAATAATATAAGTAAGTAATATTCTTTCTTATTTATTCATTGAACCATCTACATCAATGTAACAAATATTAGTGGATAATAAAAAAAATATATTTAAAGTTTTTAGATAAAAAAAGTTATAATATTTATTTTATGATGCTTATTACAAGTACAGAAGGGGAGTGATCATCATCGGCTATAAACTCGCATCATCGAACACGTTCGAGAAAGAATATACTTTGCAAACACGTTCCAGTACATATTTCCCAAAAAGTCATCTATAATTTTCTTACCACGAAACAATTATACACACGCTTTATCGCTCTTTTAAGTGCATAAGAAACAGAAGAGAATTGATCTATGTTTACAACCCATTCTACTAATTTCTTTGAATATGATAATACAACTATTGTCTTTTTGTATAAATGATTATAAACAATGTAAGAAAATAGATATGGTGGACACACTCGATATATTTTAAATTTAAATGGCAAGGTAGAAGGTTCATATGTTTAAGATACATTAGTGGAATCAATTTTAGATGATCCTGTATTTAGAGAAATAAAAATTAAAAATATGTTTATTAGATTATATATGCAACATGTAAGTTGTGTGGAATGCTATATATATATATATATGTATATATATATATGTGTGTGTGTGTGTGTGTATATATATATATATATATAAAAGACTGCATACATCATATTTTATTTTTCTTTCAGATACAATCTATTTTGGGAATCTTGCATTTATGTGTGAATTTCGGGAAACTTTGCTATGACATGAACTATGAAGAAAGAATCAAATGAATAAAGATTCAAAACAACTAAAGTTTTCAATTTATTGCATAAAAGAAAAAGTTTAATTGTCTCTTCTAAGGAAAACCATCTGATTTGCTCTATAATTTATTTTATGGTCTTGGTGTGAAGAGTTCTCATTACCATGAAAAACTTAAATAAATACAACTGTATGTTTTCATTAACATTTATAAATGGAAATATTGATACATCTCACAATAATGGTTGAGCAATAATGTACTCTCAGCGAACACATTCATCATCACATACCATGTTTAATGTCACAATATGGTGAAAGACCAAAATTTACACAATTGTATATTTATGGTATACAGAACGAGATATGAAAACAAATTACTCTTTTTAGGTATCTCGAATACTTTATTGAGTACACCATTTTAATAAAAGTATTATTTACATGTGTTTGACAATATAATACACATGAAACATTATTAACATGCTAATAAAAACAAATTGTTCTCTTTGTTTCGTACAGTAGAGAGAATAATTCTTAGACTACTGATAAAAGTTTGGTCAAAGATTTGAAAAATATGGTAGATAAGCATAATGTTTTAACACAGATATTTAGAAGAACTAAAGACTTCATGGATAATGAGCATACTTCTAATGTATCATTGAGGCTGTTGAAAAGTAAGACTTCATATATAATGAGCCTACTTCTAATGTATCATTGAGGTTGTTGACAAAGAAAACTAGAGTCTCAAGAAATTATAATATCTCCCCAATACATGAAGTTGGTGCTCTAATAGTTAAAGATCTTGATTCTTAACACAATTTATTTCTAAAAAATATAGTGAACTTCACTTATTCGAACTTATTGGAGAACATAAAAAACTATTATATTCTTTTTTTAAGATAGTGCACTATTGGCACCCGTGCTCGAGGTTGTTGAATGGTAAATGATTTTTTTTCTTATCCTTTATTCCATGAGGTGAAAAGTACTACTTAATTTCTTATTCTTCATGCCAACAAGTTTGGAATTAAAAAAGACATTTTTGAGTATATTTTCAATTTCTCAAATATTATTTATTCTACCTTGGTGTTTTTGTCCAATGATAAAAAATCATGTTAGAAATATATTTACTTGATCCAGAAAATATATTGCATTAAAAAAATTCAGAATAGACAAAAATTTCGTCAAGCCCGTGCATCGCACGGGTGAAAATGCTAGTTTGAAAATTTTTTGAAGTATACAGTATTTGTATAATGTTATAAAGACTACTAAAGGTATCTAAATTAAGGTAATACTTCAACTCTACCTTTACTCTCACTTGTGAAACATCAATTTGTATAGCATCAATGTTAAATTAACCATTAGTGAATACCGACTTTATAATATATAATCATATAAATGACCATGTTTGGCCATATCTTTTAATTATAATCATAACGAACCATAAACATTTAAAAATTGTAATTTTTGAAGCTTCAAGGGTAATCCTATATGAAACGAACATAATTAACTTAGGTTGTGTAACCTTAACGACTTTGTTTCCTAATGTTATAATTGCGCGGGAGAAGATTTTTTGCAATTCTTCAACGATTAACATTGTAGTATTACATAATTCAAATGGTTAATCAGTGTTCCCAAATAACATAATGAGTGGATATTTCCTCAAATTAAAATTACTTTGTGGCTTACGATTCATAAATATTTATTCTCATTCATAAATTCAACTTTTATACAACCGCCTTTGATAAGCAAAAAAACGATTCCCTCCACTCCCGGATTAGTTTAGATTAGAAAAAAATGATTCATCTATCCGCATTAATATAATTCTTCTCCTTGGTGTAAAAACTATCTTCATCCAAGCATGTCATAAATAAATATCAATTTTTTTAAGGTTAAGAAAATATATTTTATTAAGGAAGGAAATTTTAATTATTCACTAAAAATTTTATTATAAATGAAGTGAAAAAATATAAATTATACAATATATTCTAATAAAAGCGATGATCTTTATTGCATAATTAAATTAACTTAATAATGTTAAAATCGCAAAGAATGTTAGTGTTAACATAATGTATCGCGGTGACACACTTTTGGTTCAACTGTTTTCTATTTTTTAATTAAAAACATCAAATCATAATAGATAATTAAAAACAATAAAATTTACATTTAAACCATAAATAATTATCTAAGGAGTATAAACCATAAATTTATGTGACATATTGGTTTTGAAAAAAGGCTTATGAGTAAGCCACATGTTAGTTTCCTAATTACCTGAGTCTCATTTTTATACATAAAGGAAAAGATAAAAAAATTGTATATTTTTCCTAAATTTTTTATTTTCATTATATTTATATATTTGGCTAATTTAAACATATTCTATTTGTATGAGAGTAATATTGAACATAAACTTATCATTATTAAAATTTTACTTTTTTCCTTAAAAAATTCACTTTTTTAAATCTACACTAAGTTAAAATTTATACTGAAAAAATACATTGCAAATTAACTAATCATCTATTTGTGTTCAACTTTTTCTTCTTTCTAAAAACTATTGTCAAACTCGACAATAAATTTTTTGATCTAGTTTTTAAATATTATATTAAATGTATGTGAAATTGATATAGATGTAGAGTGAGTATCTTATATATCATTATAAGTTACGTTGTAAATGAAGAGAAAATTTTATTAGTTTTAAGTTCAGTAGTCGATATAATATTTGAAGGAATATTATACTTATTTTATATTAAATAAAGTTATTATAATATTAATTATATCAAAGTTTTATTGCTAAATGTTAAAAGTTCTCATTTTGTTTTAATTTGTTTTAATTTATTTTTATTTTTCTATAAAAATGATTTAATTTCCTTTTTATTCAATTGACTGATTTTTAAGCTTAATTAGAATCCGAGAAAAATATTGTAGTAAAAGTTTTACTGAAAATTTTGTTAGTTAAAGAAGAAACTTGTCTTTTTTCCGTTAATAATTTTATTTTATGCAGTACTATATTTATATTTCACTAATTTATTATGTTACATAATTTTAGTTATTATATCATAAATTAGTTGAAGGAAACTTTGAGTCAATGCTCTTGATGACATGTCTAATGAGGTGTTAAAAAAATGTTCAGTCAACATGCCACATGTCGTAATTCTAGAACTTCACTTCCTACTTTTCAAATTTAATAAAAATGAAATTAAATATACTTATCGGTCACATAAATTTGAAACGAAATTACGAAAGAAATGCTAAGCCAAAATGGAAAACAATTCAAAGACATAATGATACGACCATTTTAGCACCTCAAAACAACCAACCACCCAAGATTGGAGAGAGAGAGAGAGAAAGAGAGATGGCTATTTACAGTGGCACTCAAATGCGTAGTCATTCCTCTCAAATTTCCCTCTCCACTCGCGTCAGTCTGAGTGTGTGAAAGAACGCCAATTTTCCACAGATTACTCATTTCCACAAATTCGGTCCCTTTATTCACACTCCCACTTCTTCTTCAAAGTGAATTTCTTGAAATTCCTTTTTTCCCCGAACCAAAAGTTGCAGCACCAACCAGAGAATTAGTGGCACCACCATTAATTTCTTGAGCTACCTACTGAAAAAAAAAGAAGCCAAAAGTGTGTAAAACATAAGTTTGGTAAAGTAGGGGGGGCTTTTCCGTTTTCGTGCATACTTATAGACCTCTCGTTTCCTTGATTACTCGTTGGAGTTTCTTGATTCTGTTTGGGTTTGAGAAAAGATGGCTCTTTGCACATATGCAATTCCTGGGAATTTGAGCAGGACGGTGGGTTCAGATCTTCAAAAGCAACAGAGGTCTTTCAGCTCACACTGCTTCAATGGAACCCATCTGCACCTTCACTTCCAGTCTAATACCAGTCAGGTTTGCTTCTTTCTTCTTTCTTTAAAAAAGTTAAAATCAACCATTAATAAAGAATGGAGGGGCAATCCTGATGAATATTTTGGGTTCCCATGAAGTAAGTAGTCATTGATTGAATTTTATACTATACAATTCTTTAATTTTAGTGAGATACTTGAATTTCATTGGATATAGCCCACTATTTTCTTTCTTCTTAACCGATTCTGTATATCCGAGTTGATTTTTTCACTCCGTTTGTTCTAGTATATTCGTTCGGCTTGATTTTTTGCGATCAAACTGTACTTACTTTTATCATTAACAATTTAGTAAAACTTACATTGCATATTAATATAGTAATATAATTTTTGAAAGCATTTTGCAAGATAAATCTTCCAAATTTGTCAAGTGGTCGTTATGTAGTTGCTGGTTGTTATGTAATTAAGCTGTATTTGGCTATGGATTCCTGATTGTTTTACGCGCTGGAGTCCTAAAATGAAATGGTCTGCCCGGTTTTTTGTTTATAGCTGAAGAAAAGGTCAAGTGGGGTTCAAGCTTCCGCATCACAGAATGATGAGTACTACTCACAGAGACCGCCAACTCCTCTTTTGGACACCATAAACTATCCAGTTCACATGAAAAATCTGTCCAAAAAGGTGAAGAGGTTATTTATTTAAAGAAACATTGAATTCCATTCTCTATCTAAAAAGGCTAGCTTTTAACTGATTTGCTTCACAATCACTCACTGGAATGCACTTTGATTTGGATTTTTATGTATAGGAACTGAAGCAACTTGCCAATGAGCTCCGCTCCGATGTTATATTTAATGTTTCAAAGACTGGGGGTCACCTCGGCTCCAGTCTTGGTGTTATTGAGCTAACGGTTGCCCTTCATTATGTCTTCAATTCTCCACAAGATAAGATACTATGGGATGTTGGTCATCAGGTAATGGTTTTACCCATCTTAGTCTGTTGATTTGTCATCTAATCATGAATAAGTGTTGCAAAGCTGATGCATCGACTTTTGCAGTCCTACCCTCACAAAATTTTGACAGGCAGAAGGGCAAAAATGCCAACATTGAGACAGACTAACGGGCTATCAGGCTTTACGAAGCGTTCAGAAAGTGAACATGATTGCTTTGGAACTGGCCACAGTTCAACCACTATCTCTGCAGGCTTAGGTATTAGTCTTTTTTTGGTATACATTTATGCCACCCGTTACTTTGTTTCATCTTTACATTCTTTGTAATTGATATATGTTGGGACTAGGGACTAGGGGCACTACGGGACTTTTATGCTTTGCATAAGGTCCTTGTTGGGACTAGGGACAAATTCCATTCCTTGTTGCCCAGTCTGAGATTAAAGCTTCATTGACTTCCCCTTGATGGGTTCATCCTTTTTTTTTGTAATTGTTATATGCCGCGTGAGCCTTTGTTTTGTGAGTTCTAACCCCTTGATATCATGAATGAAAGGAATGGCTGTGGGAAGAGATCTAAAAGGAAGGAAAAACAGTGTCGTTGCGGTCATAGGTGATGGTGCAATGACAGCAGGTCAAGCTTATGAAGCAATGAACAATGCCGGTTACCTAGATTCCGACATGATTGTCATCCTTAATGACAACAAACAAGTCTCTTTACCAACTGCTACGCTAGATGGGCCCGCTCCTCCTGTAGGAGCTCTCAGTGGTGCTTTGAGCCGGTTACAGTCCAACAGGCCTCTGAGAGAACTGAGAGAAGTTGCTAAGGTAAGCATAACCAAATACACTCCATATAATAATTAAAAATACTTCACACAGATGACAAATTCTTTGAAGAACCTAAGAATGAAAATTGTCTGTGATGGGAATTTCTGCCAGGGAGTTACGAAGCAGATTGGAGGACCCATGCATGAGCTTGCTGCAAAAGTTGATGAATATGCTCGCGGGTTGATTAGTGGTTCTGGATCAACACTTTTTGAAGAACTTGGGCTTTATTACATTGGGCCTGTTGATGGCCATAACGTTCATGATCTTATATCTATTCTGAAAGAAGTCAAGAGCACAAAGACCATTGGCCCAGTTCTAATCCACGTTATTACTGAGAAGGGCAGAGGCTATCCTTATGCTGAAAAAGCTGCAGACAAGTACCATGGTAACACATTCCCAAATTCCCAAACTAATGCATAGACACCAGTACATCTGATCTATGAGTTGTCCTTACCATCTTTGGTTTTTTTTTTAAAAAAAAATTCCTTTTCAGGAGTGGCAAAATTTGATCCAGCAACTGGGAAGCAATTCAAAGCAAGTGCGAAAACTCAGTCTTACACAACATACTTTGCAGAGGCTTTGGTTGCAGAAGCAGAAGCGGATAAAGACATAGTTGCAATCCATGCAGCCATGGGGGGTGGGACAGGTATGAACCTTTTCCTTCGTCGCTTCCCGACACGGTGTTTTGATGTTGGAATAGCAGAACAGCATGCAGTGACTTTTGCTGCTGGGTTGGCCTGTGAAGGCCTCAAGCCTTTCTGTGCAATATATTCATCATTCATGCAAAGAGCTTATGACCAGGCAAGCCATCATTTCTTTCAGATTTGAGAACCCATGTCATATCAATCCTCCAAAGCTCACCAAATGGGCCCTTACTTAAAATATTTTGTTCTGCATCCAGGTAGTGCATGATGTGGATTTGCAGAAACTGCCTGTAAGGTTTGCAATGGACAGAGCGGGTCTGGTCGGAGCGGATGGTCCCACACACTGTGGTGCTTTTGATGTTACCTTCATGGCATGCCTCCCAAACATGGTAGTGATGGCTCCTTCTGACGAGGCCGAGCTATTTCATATGGTAGCCACTGCTGCAGCCATAGATGACCGCCCTAGCTGTTTGAGGTATCCTAGAGGGAACGGCGTAGGTGTAGGATTGCCTCCTAACAACAAAGGCACCCCTCTCGAGGTAATAAGTTCGGCTTCCTAAGAAGAGGCTGATGAGTTTATTATACAAACCCAAGTACCCAACTAATACAAAAAAGGGTTAAGTATGCTTTTGGTCCCTATAAAATATTTTTTATTTAAACCATCCCTGTAAAATATTTGTAAAATATGTGTTTTTGCAAATGGGCCTCCCACCAACTTAGAGCTAATTTGTGAGGGTTTGAAGGGACCAAAAACTAAATCGCTTTGGATTTAAAATTCTATGAGGGACCAAAAACAAATTCAACACTAACTCTAAATTTTAAAAAATAGTGAAAGGACTATTTGAAAGAAAAAATATTTTACAGGGATGACTTAATAAAAAAATATTTTAGAGGAACAAAAGCAAAAATCGCTTGTTTTATGGAGACCAAAACATATTTAACCATACAAAAAATTGTGGCTTAGGTTGGTCGAGGGCGGATATTGATTGAAGGAAAAGGAGTGGCACTCTTGGGATATGGAACAGCAGTGCAGAGCTGTCTATCTGCAGCTTCTCTGTTGGAAACTTGTGGCTTACAGGTGACAGTTGCAGACGCGCGGTTTTGCAAGCCATTGGACCATTCCCTTATCCGCAATCTGGCTAAGTCACACGAAGTGCTGATCACTGTGGAAGAAGGGTCAATTGGGGGATTTGGTTCGCATGTTGCGCAATTCATGGCTCTGGATGGTCTCCTTGATGGCAACTTAAAGGTACCCATTGTAGTTTGTTAGAAAGGAATTTCTTTTCCCAAGGGAACTCTTGCTCTCCTAATTCAAATGTTTTCTTCCTCCGCGTCGTGTTTTCTTTTTCCATTACATTTGGGAAGGAAAAAGAGACACGAACAGATCAAAATAGTCTCCGAACTTTTGGCAGGCAAAGTGACACGAAAGAACCAAAAGTCGCAACAATCTGCCAAAAGGGAAAATAGTGGACATCTTGGAACCAAAACATAGAAATTTACCGCTATTCAACTTATTCTTATTACTTCCTTCGACCCAAAAAGTCCTTTCTTTATTTTTGTGTCCCACAAAGTCCTTTCTTTTTCTATTAAAAAACTACTTTTACCACTACCTATCATATCACACATTTTTACTAATAATCTGCATATCACATTCTACTTTATCCTTCACATCAAGGTTATTTTTGGGAAGTCAGCCCAAAAATATTCATTACTTAGATTTTCTGAAAAGTCAAAATGAGAACAACTTTATTGGACGGAGGAAGTATTACTTATTTTATTAGAATGAGGTTAGATCAAACTAGATCAGAAACAACTTTAAATATAACTACAACCAGATTAAGTCAGACCAGAATAAAATCAGATTAGATCCGATCAGATCAGACGAAGATAACAAGCCCTGACTGACATTTTATCATCGCGTGACATGTGAAGTGGAGACCAATGGTTCTTCCAGACAGATACATAGAGCACGGAGCTCCGGGAGACCAATTGGACCAAGCCGGCCTGACGCCATCCCATATCGCGGCGACAGTGTTTAACATCCTGGGACAAGCAAGAGAGGCCCTGGAGATCATGTCGTCGTAGGACGGTGTAAATAACTAATTATGTACAATTGTTATGTATGGTGAAATAAATGTTGAGCGTTTGAAAATGTAACATTATACATGGAAACATTATATGTTCATTCCCCGAATGAAATGGAACTCATACTTCTGTTAACCATTGGCCGGCCATACGTTTTTAAATATGCCCTTGGTAAATTCTTACGTGGTTCTAAGGATAATGTTCATTTTATGAATTTTATTGGATCCTTACAAAAAAATCTATTTGTCAGCTCATGAAAAATGTGAGAAGATTTATATTTTATATATGGACTTTAGGATCACATTAGAACATCTCTTTAATCTTTCACTTGTCGTTGGAAAAGAAGAAAATGAAATATTTGATTTGGAAAATCAACAAAAGATTTTAACTTTGGAGATGGATAAGAAGAAGATAAAAAAATCCTAAATATATAAAAATAATTATTTTAAAATCAAGCAAAATATTTTCAATGCTACGAAGTAGTATTTATTTCTTTTTTTTTTGGGCGCTTGGCGAGGGTCTTGACTCTCGATGTACGCCGGTCTTCATTGGTAGGGGGTAATGGTGCCTGATGTGCAAAGCCTTAGGCTAGGGGTGTCATCATCCACCATCCTCATTTCTAACTTACCGGCACATTAGCTTTCTCTATTTTTGTTGGTGATTTTAGTGTCATCGGTTATTTTGTTTGATTAAGTTTACTTAGATCAGACAAGAATTTGAATAGACGTTGTCAAACGAGTTAGGAGGTACGGAGTGCGCACTCGTTCAATGATATTACAATTTCATTGCAGGGGGTTCGGGGGCGGCATCCCCTGGAAGCGGAGACCAAGGGGCGGCAGCCCCTGGCGAGGTCCAAGGGGCAGAGCCCCTTTGCTTTATGAAAATCCTTCATATTTTCATGAACGGACTTTGAAACTCTAAACATTTGGACGTATGAATAAAACGTCAAAACTTGACCCGAAAATCGCAGAAAACTCTTTGAGAGAATAATCACAGGACTTCCGTGTCTATCTTTACGCGCGAGCATTCATATCTTTTATGCAAACGTTCATGTCTAATCTTAAGATTTATCGATTCTGATGGTGTAAATTACTTAACCGGTCAAACTATACTAGACCGGGTCTAGAATAGTTTGCTTGATCTGGCAAAGTAAGAAAGGTAAAAACTCGCAGATTGACCGGTAGGACTTTAGGTGGAACACCTGTAGCCCAATTTATATTATAACGGAGAATGCACGGGTGCTTTTACAAGGGAGTTTAGAGAGAGTGAATTCCGATCCCCCTTTCTAAGGTTTACAAGAGGTATATATACTAAGCTAAGGGGACAGGGCCACGTGCGCCCACGTGAGGGCACGCAGCTGATGTGGTGCGAGATGACTGTCCCTGTGCTGCCTTGTCATCTTGCGAGGAGGGTTGTGCCCTTGTCGTGTTCTGGCTTGGAAAAGTTCCTTCGGCATCTCCACTGATTCTCCAGTAATGCCAGCCACAACAGTCCAAGTCCTCTTGGACTCTTCCTGCCGACACCCTTCACTCTTCGGAAACTTCACCGGTTGGTCTTTGAGGGTTGATTAGCTAGCTTCGAAGGATGAATTTAGACGATAGGAAAGTTTGACCGGTATACTATCCGAAGTATACCGGGCAACCTTTTGGTCAATCATCTATCCCCTTCGCTGACGGTTCAGATCCTCCACTCAAGTTTAACCTCTTTGACCGGTCAACTATTTGGTTCCATCCTTTGACCGGTCATGGGTGAGATACACCCATCAATAAGCCCACCACTTCTCGGTTATGCAATCGTGTCATAAGCGGGAAGTAAAAATCTGAGACAAGTCTTTAAATTTTGAAATTTCAGCCTTTCCCGCTCAAAACATTTGAATTCAAAATTCAAAAAGTGTCCGTTCTGACACGTGTGGTCTGCTGGACGGCGTCAGACCCGCGTCCTTTCGTCTTCCCAGGCGCAATGATGGGGCCGCCTGACGCGGCGCGCCCTGGTGAAGCCACGTCGCCCCTCTCCCATCTCTCCTCACCTATATAAAGGCTTCCAACCCCATTTCTCCTTCACTTTTCGATCTCGCGTTCTTCAGGCTCTTACCGGTCAAGTCCTTGCTCTCGCTCTCCAGCCCTCCGAGTCAAGTAAGCCTCTTCCCTTTTTTCGACTTCCCCTTCTTTTTTTCTCAGCTTTTCTCTCCGGTCGATGTCTTCTTCTTATAGCCAAGACATTTCTGCCTCAGATGCCCACGCATCTGAGGAATCCCCGTCTACCTCTTCGTCGACCGGGTCATCTTCACCCGTTCTTGGACCCCGGTCGGTTCCCAAGCCCAATATCCCAGGACCGCGGCCGGTAAACCAGATGCCCGGTCAGAGTACAAACCAAACTGGTCAGAGTTTTTAGGAGGGGGATGCACCGGTCGAAGACGAACCAGCCCCCTACGACCCTGAAAATGAGTCGTATGAGAAATGGGTGGACCGGCTGGAAGCAGCCGGTTACTCTCCTCTTCCTACCAGTTACCCTTCAGACATCTACCCCCACGTTTCCAAGATCGCCCAAAATAAGGCCCGTAGGAACCTCCCGGAGGGGTATGTCCTTGAATACGACCCTAACTGGCCCAACATCATCGAGCCCCATCGGGATGATAGGGTAGGGTTCCATATCATTTCCCTGGAGAGTGGCACTGTCTTCCCCCTTCGCCCCCTTCTGGTTGAGTTGTGCCACTGTTTCAGGATCCTTCCCGGGCAAATTACGCCCAATGCCCACCGTTTCCTTAATGCCTTTGTAAATATCTGCACCCATCTCAAAACCGACCCTTCTCTTTGCTTTTTCCTCTATTTGTTTGAAGTTCTTCCCGGTAAGTCGGGTTGCGATGGTTACGTCTATTTCAAAGGCCGTAACGGTCGCCAATTCATTTCTGACCTTCCACAAAGCAACCGGTTGTGGAAGGAAAATTCGTTTTCATAAAATTTCCCACGATCTCTCCTTTGGCCGGCATACAATGGAATGACCACATCTTGAAGCCGCAGTATACCGAGCCAGCCACCGCCCCAGACTTGGAAGAGAGTTTAGAGAAGCTTCTCCGAGGGGACCCGTTCACCGGGCAAATGTTTCACTACGGGGCTTGGATCTGGCGGATCCAACCGGGTGGCCAGGGTACCGTTATGGCTCACGAAGTAGCGGGGCACGGGGTACCCGCCCCGGGCAACACTGCAGAGGCCGGGGGCTCCAGCCACCCAGGTACCTTTCCTTCCCCTTTTTCTCCATTTTGATATACGGGTCAAAGTTCGTACATTATATTTTTGCTTGTTCTGCAGGGATGAATTTCAGAGTATTCAACATCCCAACGAAGAGGACCGGTGGCTCTTCCTCTGCTGCCCCAAAAACTGTACCGGTCCAACAGGAACCGGTGGAGATCCATTCGGAGGAGGAAACGCCTCCAACCGGGGGAGATGCTCAGGCCAAGAACGCCCCGGTGAATCCTCCCCTCGACAAGGGAAAGGGGAAGATGAGGATGAAGAAGGCCGCCACCACCCATCCAGCGGCGAAGAGGAAAAGGGGGGAAAGTTCCCTGGCTGAGGAATCGCTGGAGGAGCTCTGGGTCAAATTGACCCTCAAGCTGAAAGAGGTAACACTTATCCGGTATGTTCCCTTGAATTTGTCACTTGATCATTGTACTAACCGATATGCTTTTCAATATGTAGATGGGTGAAGTTAGGCCTGACGCCTTGGAGCAACTCACCGAAGATTCCTCCTCCCGGTTGGCCCAGCTGGAAGAGAAGTTGAAGAGATCCGAGGCCCACAACCGGGAGCTCAAGGACCTGACGGCCCGACAGTTAGATGAGATGGCAAATATTTCAGCAATTGCTGGGGGGGCCAAGGCTGAGACTCTCCAGCTGAAGGAAGAGAACCTGAAGCTGATGGAGGAGTTGGAGTCGAAGGAACGTGAGTTTCCCGGTAGGGCCCGCCGGTGGATGGAGGACAATCTGGTAGAAGCTGCCCGGGTTCTCACCTCTTTTGGGGAGAGGACCATGGAGGGCTTGAGGCTATTGTACCGGGAGGAGCAAGGGAAAGAGATGATCACCCAGATTGGCTCCTACAGCTTTATGTCTGGACAGAAACGAGACCGGGAGGCTACCCACGCAATCCTGGCTGAACGGGACCCGACCTTCTCTGCCGACGCTTACGGCCTGGCTCCCATCCCCAGTGAGGAACCCGAGCCCCCTTTTCCTTTGGAATGAACTCCCCGGCTGCGCCCGGTTATTTTTGTAAAATTTCTAGACTTGAAATTTCCCCGGGTATGCCCGGCGTACTTGTAAACATTTGACATCTCCTGTTTTGTTAAATGCAATGTTTGTTTGCTTACCCGGTAAATCTTGCCTTTGCCTCTTGATTGATACTTTGCTCTTGTTCCTTAGAATCTCTTCATAAAATTTCTGGCCGGTTAAACTCCAACTTTTATTCTCGAATGTCTTCATCTTGATGGTCGACTTAAAAAAGTTTGACCGGCTAAACTTCATTTTGGCTTTTCGATAAAGTATCGTTTGACCGGTAGGCTCCTTCTCCACGGTTTGGCCGGCCAAGTACTTTGCCTTGTAGAACTTTCGAAGTTCTGTTGTGTCGATACCCAACCGGGGTATTCCTTTTTTTTGACCGGTAGGCTGTAGATGGAAACACCTGTAACCTAGTAATTCTTGAAGTATCCTTAACCGGTAAGAGTACTGGAGATTTAACCATGTCGAATGGTTTTGAACCCTCTCCAAGGTTCAAATGCACCCTTCTTCCAGGGCCCCCTCTTCCGGGTGATTAAGTCTTTTAATGGCCCTTTGATTTCTACTATCCCGGGAAAGCCTTAGCTCACCCCCCGTTCAAGTCTTCCCTGAGAAGGGGGAAACAGGATGCGCCACGGTGGACGATCCCCTTCTATTTCTTTTAATGGGCATCTTTTAGTCCCCAATCAATTTGACGGTACCGGCTGATTCCCCGATACCGGTCAAACCTCATGGGCCCGTGTAAATACGGTTCGAACCTTCTTCCAGGTCCAGCCCTCTTGCAAGCATACCCTCTTCCGGGTTTTAATATTTTTTCTATTATACTGAGCAAGACCGGTGTATTAACCAGCGTGCCAGGTCCGGGCCTGTTGTTAGCCTTGGTTTGCTAAGCCTCATGTTTTGATGTTAAGAAACAATATAAGAGCTTAACGTTTGTTTAAGTGTTTCAGGAAAAACAAGAATCCATTAAGATTCGGTACTCAAGAATGAAGTCGAAACACTAAACTAGCGTAGAATATAGGTAGAAACCAATGTAAGGATATGATTTTATATACCTATATTCACAAGCTCAAAAACACTCACAAAACATGTTAAAAACCCTTTTATAATCATTTTCAAACATCCAAAAGGTTTTAAACAAAATTGGAAATGATTTGGACAAAAATAAAAAAATTGTCAAAATGGTCATAAGGTACCTAGGTACCGTACGCACGGGACCCCCCTACCGTATGGACGGGACCCCCCTACCGTAAGGGGTACCGTACTAAGATAGGTACCGCCAGAGAGTTTTGGCCTGAGAAGGTACCTAGCTACCGTAAGCACGGGACCCCCCTAC